CCAGACAGACTGAGAGGCTGGGCCCTCTGGAGGCTAAGTGGGTCCAAGGAACAAAGGCTTCTAGGCCAGGCTCCTGACCACAAAAAGACAGGTCAGACTTCCAGAACAGCTGGGATTTCAAAACATCTAGCCCATTGTTGGAGCACCCATCCTGTTGGTTGGAAAGTACTGTTGTCTCTGGACATGGCTAGTGGGGACCCAGGCTGCCTCAGACAGGCCTTGCTTTCCTGTTCGCCACAGAGGCCAAGGGCCGCTCCTTGCTGAGCCTAGGACCCAGGCTGCAGAGGCAGCTTCTGGGCCAGGCAGCTGCTGGGCCTGGCCTATCTTGACATTCTAGTGGGTGTTGATTCCTGGGAGAACCCCCAGAAAACTCTGGACCTTGTTCATTTATATCTCAGGTGACAGGGACAGACAGCGTGCATGTGTGCGTGTGTGTGTGCACACATGTGCGTGCATGCGTGTGCATGCGTGTACATGCGTGTGTGTTTAGATCTACCTTTTCTCAGAAAAGTGACTTTGAGCAGAATGGTGTAGAGATGAATCTCAGTGTGAGAAAAACAGCAAGGGCAAAGGCCCTGAGGCAGGGACATATCTTGTGTTTGAGGTAAGGTGACCCACTGGTTCCAGTTTGCCCCACACTGAAAAGATTCTCAGGACACAGGCCTTTCAGTTTAAAAACTAGGAGGACTTGGCTGGAGGAGTGGCTCAGGTGGTAGAGCGCCTGCCTAGCAAGCCTGAGGCCCTGAGTTCAAACCCCAGGACCACAACAAAACAGAACTAGGAGGACTTGGTCACCCTACTGAGGAACCTCACAGAGGTCCATGTAACTGAAGCAGGGTGAGCAAGGAGGTGACAGGATATCAGGTCTGTACAGGCCTCTGAGGACTTCGGCCTTCATTTGAGTGAAGCATGGCAGTTAACAGAGGAGGAACATGTTCTGGCTTACAGTTTAAGTGCTTTTTTCTTTCTTGGCACTGGAGATGGCACCCAGGGCCTTGCACATGCTAGATAAGCACACTGCCACTGATCTGTATCTCCAACTCTCTTTCTTAGGTTTTTTGTTTGTTTGCTTTTTTAAGACAGGGTCTCACTATGTAGCCTCAAACTTGTGACCCTCCTGAGTGCTGGGATTACAAGTGTGCATCACATGCCAGCTGAGTTTTCCTTTTAGAGGGCTTATGAAACTAGGGGAACAAAGCCCAAAGTCCAGGGAACCGCAGGTTTGAATTTGGACTAAGGTCATCACAGATTAGTAGTGTTTTAGGCATCCGGCACAAGCACATGAAAATTCCCTATCATCCTAGGCATCTAATTTTTCTTGCAAATAAAATTTAAAATATAATATGACACACGATCAAAAATAACTAGGCACATAAGCAAATAAGACCCCATGACTGAAAACCAACTGAAACAATGACAACAGAAACAGGCCCACAAAAGCTTGAGGTAACTAAAGACACAGACGAAAACCTCATATCTCAAAGCCACAATAACCCTGGACAGCAGGGTTATTTACTTAAAGATAATGAAATTGGAGCACACAAAGCAAAAATGATTAGCCTGGGTTACCACAGGTAATAAGTAGGGGAGCTGTGATTGCACACAAGTCTATTCCCTGTGTAATTTGAGGCTATTAAAAATCGACCACATCAGGGGTCTTTAGAAGTGGAAAACTAGGGCTGGGCCATGGCTCAAGTGGTACAGCATCTGCCTAGCAAGCATCAGTCCCTGAGTTCAAACCCCAGTCCTGCCAAAAAAAAAAAAAGAATGGTAAGAGTTATGCCTGGTCACCTCCTCTGGCCTCCACCCTCGGAAGTTCTAGAGCTTGATGTTAGACCCCGCGGCAGCTGCCCACACCCCTCTGGCAAGAGCCACAGCACTTCAGCTAACGGGGATGGATGAAGAGTGGTGCCCAGCCACTAGCCCTCACTTGCCAGGGACATGCCCATGATGGTAATGACCAGACCTAGAGAGGCTGTCAAATGCAAAATGCGCACCCTCCTCCTCCCAGCAACTCCACTGTCCAGCAAGGAACGCACAGGGCCCCTTCACAGGTGTGCAGAGCTATGTCCACAGTGGCATCGTTTACGAGAGCAAAATGGCAGAAACACCCAGACGTCAGCCACAGAAGGCCAGTCTGGAAGGGAAGGTCTATCCACACGTATCATGAAGCCATAAAAAGAATGAGGTGGGGGCAGAGGTGTAGCTCAGTGGTGGAGAATGTGCTTAGCATTCATGAGGCCCTGGCACCAAAATAAATTGATAAATAATAGAATGAGGTACCAGGTTGGCCTTGAACTCCTGGATTCAAGGGATCCACATACCTCAGCCTTCCAAGCAGGCTGGATTACAGGCATGTACTACTGTACTCAGCTATTGACTTTTTTTTTTTTTTCCCCAATGCTGGGCTCAAACCTAGGCGAGTGCTCTACTACTGAGCTACATCCCTGATCCTTCTGGTCTGTTTGTTTCAATACAGAGTTTTACTATGTAGCCCAGGTTGGCCTAGGTACTCACAATCTTTCTGCCTCAGCCTCCTGAGTTCTGGGATCACAGTTGTGAGCTCTCACACCTGGTGGCATTTTTTTCAAATGTTGAAAATACAGTGTTAACTGAGAAAAGCAGTTGTATAACTGTACATTTCCTACTGTTTCACGGTGGAGGTGTGATAAAGGAGAATGATAGAGGGGTTGAATCTACCTGAACTGTCACAATGTACCCCCAGTACAACAATAACACGATAATAAAAAATAAAAACAGATAAAAAGTAAAAAATGTACGTATACATACATGTAACAGACTGAGAAGAATATCATTACTTACAGTGAAAATGTATTGCTCTCATAAGCATTCGTATTCATCTGCTAATTTGAAGGGCTTAAAGGTTGTTCTCACTCCAGAGGCCACCTGCTTTCAGTCTATTAAAAGTGTATTCCTTTTCTAATAAACTTAATGTTACTTTTACTAAACGTAAAAGAAAGGAGCATACACAGGGAGAGTAGGTAGTCATCCTCTGCTTTTCATGGGGCGGGGATGACCTGGGGACACTCCCAAAGCCTGTAACCCTACTTTTCACCCCTAGCTGGACATGATTTCCCTTCAGGGAGACAAGCAGAAATACATCCTGAAATGGCTGGACACCAGTCATGGGGCTCACCTCTGAATGTAAAGATTACACACCTTGATTGACATTTCCTTCCACAGAGCCCTACCTGGACAGGTGAGCTCTGTTTGTGGATGAAACAAAGGAAGGAAGAGGGAGGGCTAGCTCTTTGATGAGGGGTCCACGTGGAGCGGGACTCCTCCAGCTACTTCTCAATCTGTCTTGGGCCAGCCAGGGGGCAGGTAAAGGTGGATGGATGCCCTGATTTGGGCACAACCAGAGGGTCCCTCTGTAGTGGTGGGATGCTATTGGATGCTATGAATCTTACTTCTGACCCCTACTCCCAAAATGCATCACGGCATATGTTAAAAGTAAACCTGAGTGTTTGCAGCCACGCCTCACTCGCTCTCTCGCTCCAGGAGAAAGGGTGAGGTCTGTGAATCCACCCGGCTTAAGCGCTCGCCAGAGTGCGCCCTCTGTCGGAGGGTGAAGGAACCTCATCGTTCCAGGCCTGGCACAGAGGCTCTTGGTCCACCCAACTTCCAGAGTCTGGTGCGAGAAATTGCTCAGGACTACTTCCAGAGCGCAGCTACTGGTGCTTTGCAGGAGGCTGGTGAGGCCTATCTGGTTGGCATTTTTGAAGACACCAACCTGTGTGCTAGCCATGCCAATGTGACACAATTATGCCGAAAGACATCCTGCTAGGACCCTGCACACGTGGAGAGCGTGCTTAAGAACCCAACAGGCTGGGAAACATTTCAGTTCTTTAAACAAATTTTCTTTTCTTCCTGTTATCGGTAGTTCTGAATGTTAGATATTTTTCCCCCTATGGAGTCAAAAGATACCTAAGCATATGATTGCAAGTGGGAAAACAGGGGACAGAAATCAGGTACTGGCAGCTTCTCCATTTTCATTTGTGTGTGGATTTTTAACATAAATGTGGGGACATGAAGCATCAATGCAAATGAAATGTTTCAGTGAACAAGCTTCAGCAGTTCAACTTTATAACAATTATAAATAAACCTATTAAATTTTTCTGGACGATGGCAGCATTTTGATTTTTTTTTAAATAAGCAAATTTCTTATTGATGGAAAGAAACTAAACTGTGTTTGTAGCATTTTTATCCTAAACCCCTTCACTATACTTTTGTGAATTGTCCTACATTCAATGTTTTAAATGTTGTCTGTCTTCTGTGCTGTTCCTGTAAGTTTGCTATTAAATACATTAAACTAAAACAAAGAAGTAAACTTGAGCTGGGCAAGGTGACCCAAGTCTGCAATCCTAGCTACTTGGAAGGTGGAGATCAGGAGGATTGTGATTTGAAGCCAGCTAGAGCAAAAAGGTATCAAGAGCCCACCTCAACCAGTAAAAGTTGGACACTGTGGCACATGCCTGTCATCTCAGCTACATTTGAAGCATAAATAGGATTGTAGTCCAGACCAGCCCAGGCTTGGAGCCCAAAGCAGCAGAGCACAGCTGGCTCACACCTGTCATCCTAGCTACTCAGGAGGCAGAGATCAGGAGGATCAGTTAGAAACCAGCCCAGGGAAAACAGCTCGAGAGACCCTATATTGAAAAAACCCTGGTAAAGTGGCTCAAGTGGTAAGAGTACCTGCTTAGCTAGCATGAGGCCCTGAGTTTAAAGCACAGTACCACCAAAAATAAATAAATAATCAAAGCAAAAAAGTGGTAGAGTGCCTGCTTTGCAAGCATGAAGCCCGAAGTTCAAACCCAATTCCACCAAAATAAATATATTTAAAAAAAACAGCCAAAGCAAGAAAGGGCTAGGGGTATGGCTCAAGTGGTAGAGTGTCTGTTGGGCAAGCAAGAGGTCAAGTTCACCCCTCAGTACTGCCCAAAAAAAAAAAAAAAAAAAAAAAAAAAGAGGGGGCAGGGCTCAGTGAGAGTGTTTGCTTAGCATGTGTGAGGCTCTGAGATCCATCACCAGCACCACAAAACAAAAATAATTGAGTTTCGTGGCCCCTTCTGAGCAAGCTATGAAGGTACATTTGGAAACCTATTTCAGCCTGTGTGAGCACAGCAGAGAACGAGCTGGAGACCTTAGGTAACTTTCATGGTCTACCTTCCAAATAGGAGCTGATGGCTGAAACTTCTAGGCTCGAGGCCTTTGACTTCTGAGCCTTACCTCGTTAAGTCACCAATTAATGAGGACAAAATTATCAGTCTGCAGAGTAGTTCTGAAGGGGTATAGACTAACTCAGCAAGCACGGGGTCTTGGTGGCCCCTGCACCTGCAAAGCCTCCCCTTTTCACCTTCTTTTTTCTAGACGAAAGAGAAGCAACGTACTCACCAGTTCCTGAACCAAGATTGAGCCAGCTTTGAGGTGGAGACCCGAATTTTGTCAGGACTGAATTCATGCCTGACTTCTGGAGTGGTGGTGCCTTGCCCAACCCTCCAGCCACGTGCACATCACAGGCCTCTCCAATCACACGTGGTCTCTGTCCCTCTGCCAGTTGCAGGCCCAGCACTGACTGGCCTCTCCAAGCCTCAGTTCCAATCTCAGTTGCTCCAGCTGAATCTGCACGGAAAACCTCAGTGCTCTCAGTCCCTGCCAGTGTGCTGTCCCCCAACCATGGTCTCCAGGGAGCTGTATGTTTTAACCTATGGACAGAGCTAGCACTGTTTCCCTGTGGTGGTTTTCCCCCTTGGATTTTTCAGTCCCATGTACCCATTTGCTCCAAGGACTAGGGTTTTCATGCAGCCGGCTGACTCCAAGGTGCCTTTCCCTCCTTTCCCGAAAGCAATGCCAGGGGGACTTTGGTTTCTGTAATCCCACTGGCCAGCTGCAGCCTCTTTGCTGGGCTCCTGGTGAGGAGGCAGCTCCTGAAAGTTGGGTGGCTTCCTCCTGCCAGGGAGAGAAAGACACAACCGGGAGACCAAGCAAATTCCAAAGCATTAGAAAAAGTCAAGCCAGTCTGCTGAGTGCCACAGCAGAAGCAGAGCTGGTTACCATGGCAACCCTGGGCTTCCCTAGCCCAGCCCCTCATCTGCCCAGCTCAGCTCTGTTTGCTGATTTCCAAGGATTCACTTACTCAGCTCCTGGCATTTGCAGTTTGGACCCTCAGCCCCATGCCTCGGTGCACCTCCTTTTAGCTTGCAACCCTGCCTGCCCTCCAGCCCAACTCTTTTCCTGGCAGTACCCTAGGAGTATTTAACTTAGTAAGGCCTTTCTGAAGAGGCCCTGTAGGTCACATGGGCTTTCCTCTCCTCTGCACAGATGGCCCCCTTATTTATTTTAGCCACTGTTAGGGCCGGGTTTGTCAGCCAAGCCTCATTCTGTCTGCCAGGCCCAACTTAGGAAGGAAGATCGTTGAGCTGGGCTCTCACTTGCTGAGGCTGTTACCAGCACAGACCCCAGGCTCTGGATTTTGTTGTTTGCTTTTCCAAAAACATTTCAACTCTTCTGGTGCAAATCCCCATTTTTCTTCCAACTACCCTCTCAAAGGCAGTCCAGATGGGATGTAGCAGTCTCTTAAATTACACAAGGGCCCAGACAGGAAGATTAAACAAACTCCCCCTGCAAGCAGTACTGATACGGAAACAAAACACAGTCGTTTGCTGGGCCTTCCTAAGCATTTCACCCTCCAGCACCCCCAACTCATTAACCTGCTTTCAGTGTAATTTTCATTCCAGTGCTTTTTGGCATGTTTTCTCCTAAGTGTTCAAGTAATTCTCTGGAATAAAATGATCTAGCTACACACTAAAGCCATACAATTCAGGTTCTCAAAAATCTTTAATGACACAGAAGTCCACATATAAATGGAAAGAGCTGAATAAAAACCATACACATAGCAGGACACGGTTGGGTAGAACACACACATAGGCATGTGTACATATAAGGAAAAACAACAGACATGACAGCCTCACAGGGCTCAGCGACCATCTATGAAGTGAGATTTAAGGATCATTTTCTACACGTGCAAACTATAAAAATTTAAAAGCAGTAATTGGGGCTTTGTGAAAACTTCCAGGAATGGCTCATCAAAGGTGGTCACAGAACCTGCTTCCCCAGAGCCCTCTGAGCCACAAGTAGCTCAAGGTGAACTGATCCAGCACACAGCAGGGAAGCAGGCATGGATTCAGACACTTCAATGTCTGCATCACACTTCTACAGGAACGCGGTTCTGGTGCTGCCTTTCAGGAGCTCACCATTTGATTAAGCAGGCCATAGCACACTAAGAGCTAGGACCAGGTCTTTTATAGACATGCTCTCACTTGCTCCTCACCTGCATGGTGGAAGAACAATGGCCCTATCCTCAAAGAAAACAAACTTGGGTTAAACACTGGTAATGGCAAAGCTGGAATTCAAACTCAGAGCTCTAGCATCAAAGTTAACCACTATATTGCCATCCAAATCTAAAAAAAAAAAAAACCCAAGACCTGCTGATTAGACAATTTAAGAATATCACCACATGATGCCTGGCACACCTCCAGCAGAGCACTTGCTTCGTATACCCCAGTAGGGGGAAAAAAAAAAAATCTGCTGTAACAAGAGGGACTCCTAACCCACATCATTTGGTCCTCATATCCTGTCTGGTAGGCAGAACCCCGAGTGTCTAACAGGTAAAGTAAATGCTTGTCAAAGGGGTCCAAGTGGGAGATGCAGCCTGGGGCCTCCTTTGCTTTGCCACACCACTTCCCATGGTACTACACCAATGCTGCCCCACAGCCACCTGACCAAACTAGGGCTCCCTCTAGTAGTGACACCTCTTTACTGATGGAGCCTGACAAAGGAAAACACATAAGCTATCCAAGGCACTGCTGCCTGCTCAGTAGATCTCTCCACGTTCCAGTCTTCAACTTCCAGTGATGGCGGCAGAGGAGACAGTGATCTCTTGCTTCCAAGAAAGCCTAACCTAGGACAGATGGGGCCTCTGAAATGCTTTCATTTAAAGAACTCCTAGAATCAGAATCTTCTCATTTAACTTCATACCTGAATGGATCTTTAAAAATAAACTAATTTCAAACAATCACAAAAACTGGTAAGTAAGGGTTTTGACTTTTTGCCCTCTATTTCTATAATACCCCTAACAAAGGCACGTGCTACTTCAGAGTCACATACTCAAACAATGACAAGTTTTGGTAAAGACTCCAACAGAAAAGTCCTCACTGTCCACTCTCAACCACAACAGATGGTCCAAACAGAAATGACACACACCTGTGAAGGACGATGTGTTTGAGGCCATGGGTTACATAGCAAGACCCTGTCTCAACAACAAGACACCCCAACAGAGAGTCCAATCTTGGGGGACAGGCCACTGACACTGACAGTCACACTGACACCTAAGGGAGTTGGTACTGTGGCTGGTCTGACCAGGCTAGCCCTGGAGCTAAGCAGAGCCAGGTCTCCACGAGCTCCAAGCCCGGCTGTCTAGTCACTACACCAATGCTGCCCCACAGCTACCTGACCAACACTGAGGGCGCTCTCTGGCGATGACACCCCTTTACTGATGAAGCCTGACAAAGGTCAACATTGAAAAGCTAAAGGCAAACCTGGATTTAATGAAAGTGCAAATTACAGGACACCACTTCCATTCTTCCAGAGACTTGTACTAAAGACCAATGTACCAACCTATCTTGGTAAGACACAAAGGAACTGGGAAAGAGGCAAAAAACTGATAGTGCCAGACTATCTTAAAATTCTTTGCAAAAGACAGACATCAGTGGCTTATACCTATGATCCTAGCAGAGATTAGGAGGATCATGGTTCAAGGCCAGCCAAGCATAGTTCTCAAGACCTTATCACAAAAATACCCAACATGAGGACAGTGTAACCAATGGTTTAAATGACCGTTAAGTGTTAAACTCCACAGACTAGGAACAGGTTTTGGTTGTGGCAGTGCTGGAGTCTGAACTCAGCACTTTGCACTTGCTAGGCAGGGGCTTTTCCCTTGAGCCACACCCAGCTCTTGCTCTGACAAGACAGGGTCTCACTTTATGCCCAGGCTGGTATGGACCACAATTCTGTTTACACTTCCTATTGTAGCTGGGATATTGGGCACCTGTCATCATGTCCAGCTCTTTCTCTGGGGATGGGGTCTTCGGAACTTTTCTGTCTGGGCTGGCCTGGAACTGTGATCCTACCGATCTCAGGATCCCACATAACTGGAATAACAGGTGCACACCACCATACTCAAGTCACTGGTTAAGAAGGGATCTTGTGAATTTTGCTCAGGCTGGTCTCAAACTGCAGTCCTTGTGATCTCAGCATCTCAAGTAGCTATAGGCATGAGCCACAATGCCTGGCTTGCTTTAGTTATTTTTCAGGTAGAGTCTTCTGTTTTTGCCCAGGGTTGGTCTTGAAACTCAATTCTCCTGATCTCTGCCTCCTGAGTAGCTGGGATTATAGCCATGAGACACCATGCTCGGCTAGGAACAGTCTTTTGACACAATTATGCTGGGAAGGTGAAATTCCAACAATAGCAGTCACAATGCAGTTTAAAATGTCTCACTGCTCAAATGCAGAAATGATGACCAGGCCAGTCACCTCTGGTTACTAAAAGCCACTTCCAACCATCAGGAAGAACAGCAGTGGCAGCAGCCTCCTGTTCCTCAGGAGAAAGCCCTAACACTGTGCACCAAGTTCAGGTCCAGCGGCCCATTGCGTGAATGGGCTGTTCACAGAGCTGGCTGACCAGAGATCCAAATGGCCAGTTTTCCACTTTAGCACCGCCTGTGGTGCCAGGTCAGAAGCCAATCAGGACAAATCTGGATTTAAAGAGCCCTGGGGAGGCTCTCCAATTTGAGAACAGCTTCTTCAGCATAAAAACACAGGTTAAAAAAAAAAAGAATTAAATGAGTTCTTGACTCCACACTTTTATCTATTAAACCTCCACAGATATAAAGACCAAATGCAATCTTCTAGCACTTGACTCACATGATTGGGAGGCCAGATGGCATCAGATGAACAGAGCATAAGATAACCTTGCCATTCAAGCCCAGCACCATGCCGCCCCAGTCTGCATGCGTCCTCACATTCGACAGTCTGTGGGTCGGCCTGCCTTCACCATTCTTGGTGCAGCTTTGTGGCCTCAATTTCCCTATTTTTATCCTGATTCCAATAACCTCATCCTTGAACTTTTTGAGGAACCAGCTGCATTTTAATGGCATACAAACTTTCCCCCATGGCTTAAAATTTCTTTAGAAAAGACACTGTATAGCAAGTCTGATGATTCCAATAACCTCATCCTTGAACTTTTTGAGGAACCAGCTGCATTTTAATGGCATACAAACTTTCCCCCATGGCTTAAAATTTCTTTAGAAAAGACACTGTATAGCAAGTCTGATGAACCATACAGAAGACCAAGCAAAGATCAGAACTATTAAGTATACAACCCATTCATGATTCATACAAAAACACTACATCAGAGCACCATCCACAGCCATAAAACCCCATGTCTTCTGAGGTCAGGCCAGGAGACAAAGCTTTTAGGTAGAAAAAGAAAGTCTCTTTTCTCTCTCTCTCTCTCTTTTTTTTTTTTTTTTGCAGTGCTGGGATTTGAACTCAGGGCGTTGTACTTGCTAAGCCGGTGATCCACCACTTGAGCCAAATCCTCAGCTAGAAAAGAAAGTCTCTCGCCTTGTTGATATTCACTTTACTTTCCGATAGAGCTTGGGTTTGGGGTGTATCTTCTTTACAGGAGCTTCTTTAGCTATTCTTACTCCAATTTTCTCTGATGCTCCAGGAAGTTTAAAATTGTAATCTGTTGTGACGTAGGGAATCGTACCTTCAGGCCCATGCTGAAACAGAAACAAAGAAAACACATGGAAGCCTGTCCGGACCCGCCTTGAGGAGCAGGCTGTGTTCTCGCTCACCTGGGAGCCAGTGTGAAGGTGAGGCTGGCACTCTGGTCTTTCCAGCTTGAGGGACTTGGTTCCTTCCCTCAAAGGAACTCCTGGGGCAACCAGCCAGCCAAAGTGTGCCTGTACCTCCTCTCTGTCCCATCCAACTTCACAAACACCAAACACCATAAAAGATGGTGGGAGTGCTATGTTTTTCTCTCAACACAGATAAGCACAGAGGAACATCCAGGCCTCCCACTCCCTTTTCCCCTCACAACTGTGGCATCTGCATGGGTGCTCCTGAATACTGTCTATAGGATATATCTTATGGAGGTCCTTCTACTCTCCCCACCAACACCTTCTAGGGTAATGGCTCTACTCTGGGACTCTTGACCTTGTATGACAGGACTCATGGCCTTGAACTCATGGCCTTAGGCCTTTGAGACCACCACAATACTCATTTCAGGCTCTACAACAAAGTTCACATTTCCCAAAGGACTTGCTGCTGTGACTCTCACCCCAACTTCAGCTCCTCACTCCACACCTGGACAAGTAGGCTCCCCGTGAGGCTATCTCTGGGTGAGCTCACCTGGCTCTTGAAGATGCACTGTGGAATGGAAACAGCCCCGACAAGCAGACAATTGACAGTTCTTAGCTCTTCTGGGGGCATGGGGGTGAGTATGTGGTACAGCCGCTTGTCCATGTCAATTCCTCGACAGATCCCTTCAAGACACATCCACAATACAGATATCAACCTTTCTGGAGACACCAAACCTTCTCACCATGAAAATTTGCAGAGCGGCCTTGAAAATAAGAACTATTTTTCTGAACTGGCCTCAAACCATGATCCTCCAGATCTCAGCCTCCCAACTAGCTAGAATTACAGGCATGAACCACCAGCGCCAGGCCTGGCTACAAAGACTTTTTTTTTTTTTAGTTTTTTGGGCAATACTGGGGTTTGGGCTTCACACTGTTAGGCAGGTGCTGTACCACTTGAGCCACTTTGCCAATTACAAGTACTATTCATACCTTCTACTGTTAGCTGATGCAAAGGCCGATTTGTTGTAACTAACGCCAAAGCACCACTTCTGAGGAGCACACAATGACTCAGTCTTTCCTACCGCCCATTCCTTCTCTACAGTCTGTACCACAATTTCTGAAATGCTTCTGAGACGTTCAGTCTTGGATAAATCTGAAATGTGCATTTAACTGTTTAGATTTTGCCAACTTGGTGGGCGCTGATGGCTCACGCCTGTAATCCTAGCTACTCAGGAGGCAGAAATCGGGAGGATCACGATTTGAAGCCAGTCTCAGGGAAGTAGTTTTTGAGACCTAGCTTGGAAAAACCCATCACAAAAAAAAGGACTGGTGGAGTGGATCAAGCAGTAATAGCACCTGACTAGCAAGCAGGAGGCCCTGAGTTCAAACCCCAATGCCACCAGAAAACAAAACAAAACAAAACAAAAAACCATTTTGCTAATTTGGGGTTACTTAGTTTTAGCAACCTACCAACTCTACACTAACATCATTGACCGTGCAGAAAGCTGAGGATCCCTGGGAAGCAGGGCCCTACGAGCCAAGTCCAAATCCCACACCTGTGCCAATGGCAGATCTGTGACTGCAAAGATGGGCTTAAGGAGGAGTAACAGACCAGTCAGGAAGCTTTTCCTATAGTTCCATGCAGAAATGACAGTGGCTGGTTGGCATGGGGAGAAGAGATGCAGAAACCCAACATACTTTGAAAATAGGAGCTACCAAACCTGCCAATGGGTTGGATGTGACAAATGCAACAAACAGGATTTGGCCCTGAGTATCAAAGCCCAGTCCTGGGGAAAGGAGGAGGTGCGCAGGGCCAGACCTATCAGTGGACAGAAGACCCCACGTGCAGGTGACCACCAATAAGATGGGCTTGCAAGACAGGATGGTCTCAGGAAAAGGCAGAGAGAAAAGAGGGCCAAGTCAAGACTTACACTCAGAGGAGCTGGCAGGAACAGAAACAGAGCAGCTTTGGTCCTAATTTCATCCTGCTGAGCAACAGCTACAAGGTCAGGACCAGTCATGTGCAGTGGAAATAGATGTGCTGTAGCAGGTTTAGAGACAGGATTTACTCTCAACTCACCAAACCCCAAACAGTCACATATCGGTGTCTGGGCCAGCAGGATGGGCCCCCTGGTGTATCCTCTGACGTCATCCAGGATCTTGCAAAGGCCAATCCAGCTGGCATTCACAGCATACAGTATGTGGGTGGGGGCGACATCAGCATGAGTAATCCGTAGCGCAACTGCACTGAAAGGGACCTGGAAAATAAATAATAAATGTGCATCTCGTTCGATTCATTTCTACTTTGAAAGACTTTTTTTTTTTTTTTTTTGACAGCAGCTCCCTATTGAGTCATGCTGCCTCAAACACAAGATCCTCCTGACTTAGCTTCCCAAGTACTGAGATTACAGACATGAGTAACCACACCTGGCTTGAAAGTCTATTTTTAATTAATACCAATTGACTCAGTCAGCTATCTATAGCAAGGTCTGCCAAACCACCCTTTTGGTATTACAGGTACCCAAAAGTATCTATAATGAATAAAAACACTCACCAGGGTCAGGTGCCTGTGGCTCATTCCTGCAATCCTAGCTACTTGGGAGGCAGAGATCAGGAGGATCTTGGCTCGAAGCCAGCACCAGCAAATGGTTCGACAGACCCTATCTTGAAAATACCTAATAGAAAAAAAGGACTGGTGCAGTGGCTCAAGTGGTAGATCGCCTGTCTAGCCAGCATGAGGCCCTGAGTTCAAACCCCAGTACTACAAAAACAAACAACAACAAAAAACACTAACCAGGGCTTGGTTAGGGATGCACTGCTTTACAGAGAGACCCTAGCAAAGGCACACGCAGTTCTTACACAGCAGCAGTACTTGACAGAAATCTAGACAGAATGCGGGGCACTTCTTGTCTATAGACACAGATGACTCAAGTGTGGAGAGGGGTAAGTTAAAGTAGAGGGAACTTCCAGTCAAATACTTGTGAAACCTTGTTCACTGAGTTATCTAACGTCACAAAGTCAGAACCATTTCACTGAGAAAAGGCCTCCATTTCCTAATGTGATGTGAGAAATTAAGAAAGATGGACTAGGATGGAGATGCAGCTCAGTGGGAGTAGCAACCTACAACAACAAAACCCAAAGGAACAGAAAAGAAGGCCGACCACATTTTGGAGCATTAGCTAAACGACCAACATGTAGCTTTCTGGGTATTTCCAACTTTTTTTTTTTTTTTTTTGCAGTACTAGGGTTTGAACTCAGGGCCTGTACCTTGACCCATTCCACCAGCCCTTTTTTGTGATGGGTGTTTTTGAGACAGAGTCTCTCCAACTATTTGCACAGGCTGGCTTCAAACCATAATCCTCCTGTTCTCTGCCTCCTGCGTAACTAGGATTATAGGCATGAGCCATGACAATTCCAAATTTCTAAAGTAGAAAAGTATTCTGTTATACTTATTGTTTGATTTCAGAAGTAAGTGTATAACAAAAGGTTGAAAAAATCACTGGCAGACGTGACCTAAGTTCAGTTATAAAGTATCTCCAAGCAAATAAATGACCCCACAAACTGAAATTCCATTAGCAGACCGCCTGATCCTCAGGTGAAGAATTCTCAGAAGCCAGGAAACCATGCCACCATCAGTGCAGAGACGCATCTTGGCCATCTGGGTCCACTGCTGCCACCTGTGTGACCTCGGATAGCTTCTGAAGCTGTGTGCCTAGCTTCCAGAGATCCAAATGGGGATTCCAAGAGCATCTCCCTCTCAGGACTGCCACAGAGTCACAGAGCCATTCCACATGAGGTGCCTAATAGAGGGACTAGCTTAGAGTAGCTGCTTCAAAGTGCACTGGCCAGAGAGCAGGGTGGAATTTGGGCTCTATAGGTAGGAAGTCTGGGCTCAAGGTCCAGCTCAGATTTATACCAGGCCACTGTGGATAGGCTGCCTCAAAGTATCTGGTCTTACCATCAGCAAAGCGGGACAGTAACAGGAGTTAACACAGGATAGGGCCAGCTGGGTACCAGTGGCTCATGCCTATAATCCTAGCTACTCAGGAGACAGAGACCAAAAGGATCACAGTTTGAAGCTAACCAGAGCAAACAGTGAAATCCTATCTTGAAAATACCTAACACAAAACAGAGCTGGTAGATGGTGCAAGTGCTTACCAAAGAAGGGCAACCTGAGCTTGGCGCCAGTGACTCATGCCTGTAATCCTAACTACCTGGGAGGCTGAGATTGGGAGGATTGAGGGTTGAGGTCAGCCAGGCAAACAGTTCAAGAGACCCTGTCTCCAAAATAACCAGAGCAAAATGGACTGGAAGTATGGCTCAAAAGCACTGCTTTAACAGCACCTGCTTTCCAAGTGCAAACCTCTGAATTCAAACTGGAATCCCACCAAAAGATTAAAAAAAAAAAAAAAAAAAAAAAGAAGGGCCATTTGGGGCCTTGCTGTGCCCTGTGCCCTTAAGTTGAGTCCTTCATAGGCCCTGGGCGGGCCCACTGCCTCTTCTGCACTTTTCTTGGCTTTGATGCACTGGTCCTTCTTTTGGCCTCTGTCGCCAAAGGGCATCCTATTCAAAATGCAAACTAAGAATCAAATGTCCAGAGACATGGATCAGTCATAAGCCAGATTTTATTAGAACTACAAAAGTTAAGAGTGGCTTTGAACTCAAGAAAGAAATCAAGAAAATGACAAGCCCAACTGGAGATATGGCTCAATTGGTAGAGAGCCTCCCTAGCAAGCATAAGGCCCTGAGTTCAAGCCCCAGTACCATCCCCCCAAAAAGAAAATGCTAAGCTAAGCTGATACAGAAGGGACAGGAAAAATGAACTTTGGTGGCTTTTAACTGTGGTAATTCAGAAAATGTCAGAAAGATACAAAAGAACTCCTGAAAGCTTAGATCTGAAGCAGGTGGCCAAAGACGTGAGAAGTTGACAGAGGAGGAGCTGCAGGAAATGTCAATAAAGATGTCATGAAAAAGACCAGCCTCACCAGGTGTGGTGGTTTATGCCTCCGATTCCAGGACTTGGGAAGTTGAGGCAGGAGAATCAAGAGTTTGAGGCCTGAGCCAGGTACTGGTGGCTCATGCCTGTAATCCTAGCTACTCAGGAAGCAGAGATCAGGACGATTTCGGTTCAAAGCCAGCCTCTGCACATACTTGGAGAGACTCTATCTCAAAAATACCTATCACAAAAAAGGGATGGTGGAGTGGCTCAAGGTGTAAGTCCTAAGTTCAAATCCCAGTACCACAAAAAAAAGAGTTTGAGGCCTGAGCTTAAATGGTAGAGCACCTGCAGGACAGTGTAAGGCCCTGAATTACACCTCCAATCCATTTTGCTCTGGTTATTTTGAAGATGGAGTCTCATGAACTATTTGCCTGGCTGGCCTCAAACCTCAATTCTCCCAAACGCAGCCTACCAAGTAGCTAGGATAATAGGTGTGAGCTACCAGTACCTGGCTAAGCAGTGACCTTAGACTTCTTTAAGTGTTCTTTGATATTAAAGTTATTTATAAAATGATCACTTTAATCCTGAAGGCGTATTAGTGTAGAAAATGGGGCTTCAAAGTTGCCACCTGCCATCTCACTCTGCACTGTTTTATTCATGCATTTCCACATAGACAAAAGTACAGAACAACTTCTTTAACACATGTACCCAAGTAACCACAAATAGTGCTTGCTCTTTAATGGTTTCCTATGTGTGCCTGTGTGTTAGTGACGACTGAACTCAAGACCTTACTACTTGAGCCACACCCCCAGTCCTCTGCTCTGTTTTCTGTTCATTTTGGCAGTACTGGGCTTTGAACTCAGTGCTTCACTTGCTAGGTAGATGTTCCACCACTTGAGCCATGGCCTCAGAAAGGCCTCAGCCCTTTTGCTCTGGTTATTTTTGATAGGGTCTTTCTCTTCGCCCATCCTGGACCACAGTGCTCCTATCTTACACTTCTCACTGTTGAAGGAATGATAGCAGTGCACCACCGTGCCCAAACCTTTTTTATTGAGATGGGGGTCTCAAGAACTTTTTTTGCCCAGGCTGCCCTGGAACTGGGACCTCCCAATCTCAGCCTCCCCCAAGCAGCTATGATTACAGATGTGAGCCAGAGGTGACCAGCTCTCTCTGGTTTTTAATTGACACCTTAGTATAGTTTTTTTCTTTTATAAAACCCAGAGAACTCTTGCTCTAGATGTGTGCTACTATTTTATCTTAAAAAGAAAACCTTTCTGCCAGGTGTCAGTGGCTCAGGCTTATAATCCTAGCAACTCAGGAGGCAGAGATCAGGAGAATTGTGGTTCGAAGTCAGCCTGGGCAAACATTTCACGAGACCCTATCTGGAAAATAACCAACACAAAAAAGGGCTGGTGCAGTGGCTCAAGTAATAGAAGACCTGCCTAGCAAGTTTGAGTCCCTTAGTTCAAACCCCAGTACCACCAAAAAGATTTTTAAAAATAAATAAACAGAACCTTTCTTAGTTTGCAAAAAAAGTGCTACCCTGGAGCTGGGAGTGCACCTCAGTGATAGAGCACATGATTATAAGCACCAAAAAAAAAAAAAAAAAAAAAAAAAAAAAAGGGTGTTGTGGTACACTCCTATACTCCCAGCTACTTGGTACTTGGAAGGAAGAGGCAGGAGTACCACAAGTTTAGGCCAGCCTGGATAAAGTGAGCAAGACCTTATCTCAAAAATAAATGCATAAATAAATAAATAAATAAATAGGGTGGGCTGGAGATGTGGTTCAAATGGCAGAGGCTATACCAAAAGCGTGAGGCCCTGAGTTTAAAAAAAAAAAAAAAAAAAAGCTGGGAATTACTGGACAGATGCCTGGGAGGAAACCAAACGAATAAACAGGTATTGTGGAAAAAAAAGAAAGACTGGGACAGGGCTAAAGTGGTAAGAGTGCTTTGCCTAGCAAGCATGAGGCCAGGGAATCAATCCCCAGTACCACAAAAAAACAAACAAACAAAAAAACCCAAAAAACAGCAACTAAATTAAAAAAAGCAAAAGTACCTGTCACTATTTTGATTCTTTCATCATCCTAAATCCTAACACTGCACTAGTTTCCTGTAAAGCAATTTTCAGCAGCCTAGATTCCTAGCTGCAAATACTCTGGTGCTGCAATTTTCCAAGCGTTAACAGGGAATACTTTAGATAGATCACACTCTGGGTGCAGGACCTGCAGGAAGGCACACTCAACATTGCAACCACTCTACAGGATCTGCCACTACCCCATGCTATGGAGGACAAATGAAGTCACACACAGTTGACAAATACAGGTGCTGGAGCTGCCACTGGATCAGAACAGTCACAACCACACCTGTGCCAGATAGAACTGGCCTGCCAAGGTCCAAATGCCAGCTCTGCCATTTCTGCCTCTCTGCAATTTAGTTTCTCCATCCATGAAATGGGATAACTACAGCATGTCCCAGGGGTGTTGTGAGGATTAAGCAGGAAAAACAGGGTACAAGAATGCCCAGCACATAGGAAGCCACAGAACTGTCTCTTCAGTGAACGAAATAAAGACATTCTCCAAGTTCCACTTACCTGATAGGGTGTCAGACCATGCAAAGGACCTAGTGGTTTTGGCACTGGAGGCATCAGCTGGCCGAGGTAACCTAAGACTGCCAGATCTCTAAGAATTCTGTTATGTGACTCCCTGAAAAGTAAATCAGAAGGATGTAAGTAGAGACTTCTATTACATACTCGCCTCCTGCTCAGAAGCTGAAGTACCTGTCACCACACAGATGACATCAAGACAGCACACTGGACTTTGCTCCTCCAAGATGTTCTTCCTGAGGCAAGGAGTGTGGCCCAGCACATGCCAAAAACAAAACCAAACAAACCCCGCACACCTGCAAGGCCATATTCCTGCTAATCACACAAGGCTTGAAGACACCTCAAGTCAAAGCTCCTGGCAGCCACCGCTAGAGTCACTTCTGGATGTTTCCATTGGGAAGAATTTTTTTTTTTTGGTATGGTACTGGGGTTTGAACTCAGGGCCTATGCCAGCCTTTTGTGATAGGGTTTTTCGAGATAGGGTCTCAAGAACTATTTGCCCAGGCGGCTTTGAACTGTGATCCTCCTGATCTCTGCCTCCTGAGCAGCTAGGATTACAGGCATGAGCCACCTGTGCCTGCCTGAGAAAACATTTTTTTCTCCTCCTGAAAGGCATAACTGTGATAGATCTGAAAATTTTTAGAGTACTTTTCTTTTTGCTCACACAGTGTCTCACTATATAGCCCAGGCTAGCCTGGAGCTTGGTAAGCAGACCAGGCTGCTTCAGACTCATGACTCTCCTGCCTCAGCCTCCTGCATGCTGAGATTACAGACATGTACCACTACAACCAGCCCGAGGACTTACTCTTTCTAAGGAAGTGAAAACAGAATGACTTGTTCAATTGAACATGACACTTCAGCCAAATGATGCCTTACTTACCTATTTCTTGGAGTTTTAGTGACTGGGAACTCCGAACGCACACATATCAGCTTATGTCCAGTAAAGGGAACTGGACTGTCTTTCTCTTCATCTGCAAATTCCAAGCTGTCTGCAAACTCTGGCAGCACAAAACATCGATTTCTGCTTTTGGACTTGCTTTTCGTATACAGGCCGTCCATGTCATCCACGTACTCTGGGGTGAGGTTGGGCATGTATTTACTCTGGGGAGAACTGAGCTGAATGACGTGGCTGGGAGACAGCAGCCGGATGAGGTCAATGAGGAGCAGAAGTCCTTCATCTGTGAAGAAGGAGAACAATGTAGGCATAGTGAGCATTCTAACAAAGACACAAGCTCCAGTGAGAAACTAGCACATTCACTCTAAGAGAAGAAATTATCTGGTCAGAAGACTGTTCAAAAAGCTGTCCTTATTATCCAGAGTATTCGAGGAACCCAAACAGCTCAAGAGTAAAAAGCACCACATAATTTGATTGAAAAAGGTTAGGCACATTGGTTCACACCTTCCATCCCAGACACTTGAGATGTAGGAAAGAGGATTGAGCTCCAAGTCCAGCCCAGGAAAAAGGCATAAGACCTTGTCTGAAAACTAACTAAAACAAAAAGGCCTGGGGACATTGCTCAAGTGGTAGAGCACCTGCCTGACAATGCCAAAGCTCTGAGTTCAAAGCCCAATACCGACAAAAACAAAAAAAGTATGGGGGAGGAGGCAATCACTAGTCATCAGAGCAATGCAAGTCAAAAACCACAACAGGATTATTTTCTCACTCCAGTTAGAATGGGTAATGTCAACACAACAAAAGATAACAAGCGCTGATGATGATGTGGAGGAACAGGAACTTAGACACCATTAATGGGAACATAAATTAGTACAGCCATTATGGAAAAGTGTGGCGGCACCTCAAAACATTAAGAACAGACTGTATGGTGGTACACACCTATTATCCCAGCATTCAGGAAGCTGAAACAGGAGGATCACCAGTTCAAGGGTACTCTGAGCTAAATAGAGAGGTTGAGGCCAGATAGGGCTAGCAAGTGAGACTCTGACTAAAAACAAACAAACCGAAAATCAAAAATGGAAAAATAAAAATAGAATTAAATTGCCCAGCAATTCCATTTCTGGGCATATACCCGAAGGAGATGGAATCAGTGCCAGAGACTCCTGTACTCCATGGTCACTGCAGCACTATTCACAACAGGCAAGACACAGGATCAACCCCGAGTGCCCACCAACAGGTGAAATCCTATCATTTGTGACAACATGGACAAAACGGGATGCTGTTATGTTCACTAAAATAAACCAGGAACACTGCATGTGGATCCTGAAGAAGCTGACAGTAGAATGGGGGTAAGCAGGAGAGGGGAAGGAAGGACAGGGAAAGATTGCTTAATAGGTACTAAGTTAGACAGCAGAAATACTTTCTGATGTTCTGCTGCATGACAGGGTGACTGTAAATAACAATGTACTGCGTATTTCAAAAAAGCTAGAATATAACCAATGTTTTCAGCACAAAGAAATGATAAAAGATTGGGGCCCAGTAGTTCACGCCTGGAATCCCAGCTACTCAGGAGGCAGAGAATGGGAGGACTGCAGTTTGAGGCCAGGCTGGGCTAAAAGTTAGCAAGATCCCATTTCAACCAACAAGTCCAGATTGGTGGCACAAGCCTGTCATCCCAGCTACTGAGCAGTATAGGTAGGAGGATCAAAGTCTGAGGCTGGCCCCAAGCAAAAATGCAAAAATGTGTGGCTTCAGAGCCTAGCATGAGTAAAGCCTTGAGTTCAAAACTCAGTACTGCCAAAAGTAAGTAAAGAAAAAAAAGTAATGAATGAGCTAGGCATGGGGGCACATGCTTGTAATTCCAGCAGCTGGGAGACAAAAGCAGGAGGACTGAGCGTTCAAGGCCAGCATAGGTTACACAGCAAGTTCCAGGTCAGCTTGGGCAACACGGTGAGACCTTGTCTTAAAAAATGGCACACTTTCGAGAAGACAGGTATATATGTCCCTTCACCCGAACATTATGCACTGTGACATGCATTGAAACACTGCACGGTGCCCCATCCATGTGCACCGCTCACACTGGCTGCTCTCCTGCAGCATGCATGTGGCCTCACCTGACACCCAGCCCATAGTATTGATGATAAGTGGCGACTCTCTCCTGTAAGAGCTGAACACGTACTTTATTATCTCAACATAATTCTCATAGTTGTTTTTACAGGAAGGTTTTCCGTAATACACCATCTTCTGTGGCGTCCTCTGGTGGGTGAAAGGTGGTCCTAGGAAGATAAAAGTAAGAGTAACTAAGCCAGGCTGGGGATGCAGCTCAGTGCTAGCTTGCTTCAGAGCTCACATTCTAAACCATGACACAGCACGAGCAATGGTTATCCCTACTGGTCAGTAACAAGGAGTAAAGTGGTTCAATGAGGCTAGTGACCAGCATGGGCAAGAGGATGGTGACCAGGACTGTGTGCTGTTAACAGGGTCAGCAGGGCAAGGGCCTTCATCTCTGTGGTAGCTGGAAGGCTACCCAGGACAGAGATTGGTGGTGTGATCACCATAACTGGAGTTGAACGCTCAGCTAGTAAAGCTCCCCTCAAAGTCAGGGTCAGTGAGGGCAAAGATTCAGCCTTGCTCCCAGATGAGGGTGGGTCTAAGTGGTCAGGAGTTAGAAGAAATACAGAGGGGCTGAGCAAATATACAAACATATTAAGAATAAAAGTTGCTGGCAGAGGGGCTCAAGTGGTAAGAGTACCTGCCTAGCAAGCATGAAGCTGAGTTCAAATCCCAGTGCCACCAAAAAAAAAGAATCATCATAAACTGAGCACCAGTGGCTCACGTCTGTAATCCTAGCTACTTGGGAAGCAAAGATCAGGAGGATCACGTTTGAAGCCAGCCCAGTTCAAGAGACCCTATCTTGAAAAAAAATAATCACAAAAAAAGGGCTGATGGAGTGGCTCAAAATGTAGGTCGTGAGTTCAAGCCCCAGTACCAAAACACTAAAAAATAAAAAAAATTAAAAAAAAGAGGTACAGATGCAATACACATGCACGTATCTACACATCAAGTGTGTGGTTCTCAGCAAACATGTATACCCTAGCTCCATTCGCTGACAGCATCTAGGCACAATGGCCCCCAAAGGCAAGCCCAGTACCAAGAGTTGGGTTTTAAAATCTCACTCTCCATTAAAATGAACCAGGGCTCCCAGTGTTATTTGGGAAAGCAGCTCATTTCAAGACTAGGGAAGAGAAAGTGAAAGATGACCCTCAAGACTAGGGGTGAGATTTAGGGGTATAGCATTTGCCTAGAATGCACACTGCCCTGGGTTTGAGCCTCAGTACAAGGGAAAAAAGATGATTCTTGAGCATCTTGTTTTGCAAAAGCAGCAAGGAAGTGCTCAAAAAAGGACAGGGCCATGGAATGGCCAGGTGTGGGACCAGGGACGCAGTCAGTCCCCAGGAGGTTGGTGGGGGCTAAGCAGTAGATGGGTCCAAGGAAGTAGCCAACAGAGATGGGAGGGTATGTAGCTAGGTATGGTGGTGCCCACCTATAATCCCAACCCTTGGGAAACTGATGTAGGAGAACAGAGTTCGAGATCAGCCTGGCCTACATGGGGGACTTTCTATCAAAAAAAAAAAAAGAAAAAAAAGCAAAGAGAAATGTGTCTATACTTAATATGAACAGACTTTAACACAAACAAACAAACAAACTAACACAGCTGGGAACATGGTTTTATATATAGGGATAGTACGCAAATACATTAATGCATCAAGACCAGATTTTAATTCTATCTTTATACACAAACTGAATCTGAAAGACTCAGACTTAAGACGATGAGTTAACAGTAAGAGTGACATCAAACACAAGTGTAGTTTGAAAATTTAAAATTTAGAACTTTTGGATGCTATAAACTTCAAAATGGTATGTTAATTACTTAAGAAAGTATTGGGACAGGGCACCAGTGGCTCACGCCTGTAATCCCAACTACACAGGAGACAGAGATCAGGAGGACAGCGGTTTGAAGCCAACCCTAGTCAAAGAGTTTAAGAGACCCTATCTCGAAAAAAACCCAACACAAAATAGGACTGGCAGATGGACTCAAGCAGTAAGAGCACCTGCCTAACAAGTGTGAGGCCTTGAATTCAAACCCTAGTGCTGCCAAAAAAAAAAATCAATAAAGTACTGGTGTATTATTAATGCATCTTATTTAGGGATAAGAAAAGTCAAGTAATAGAGAAGAAAATAAAGCTAGACTTAGAAAAAAAGGGCTTCAGAAAGGTATGGAAATGTGGGCTGGGAGAGTAATTCAAGTGGTAGAGTGCCTGTTTGCCAAGCATGAAGCCCAGTAACACCAAAAAAACAAAACAAAAACAGAATAATGAGAATCAGGTTCCTCACTATTGGAAAAGAATTTACAAACGCAGCCGGGCAGGTGGCTCACACCTGTAACCTAGCTACTCGAAGGCAGAAATCAGGAAGATTTCTATTCGAAGTCAGCCCAGCCCAGGCAAATAGTTCGAGAACCTATCTCAAAAAACACATCACAAAAAAAAAAAGGCTGGTGGAATGACTCAAGTTGTAGGGCCTGACTTCAAGCCCCAGAACCACAAAAACAAAACAAAAAAAAAAATAGAAAGAAGGAAGACCAGAATGAACCCTATTGTATTGGAAAGCAACTGGGGATATTGTAGGAACTGTGATGTTTATCTATGTACAGACAACAGACAACCAGTTATAGAATTAAACAAAGATGTGTAATACATACATACAATCTGCATGTGTGTATACATTTACCTATCTTCTAGCTGTTTACTGAGGGGACCTAAAACAATGCCACCCTAGAAGAAAACAGCACTCCTAATACCTGGATCTTGGTTTTTCTTTTTTGTGGGGAGAGATGGGACTAAGGTTTGAACTCAGGGCTTTATACTTACAAAGCAGTAGCTCCACTACTGGAGCCACACTTTCAGTTGATTTTGCTCTGATTGTTTTGGAGATGGGTTCTTGGGAACTTCTTTTTGCCTGGGCTGGTCTCAAACTGTGATCCTTGTGATCTCAATCTCCCAAGTAGCCACGATTATAGGTGTGAGCCACAAGTGTCTAGCTCTAGATCTTGGTTTTCTTTTTGTTTTTTGTTTTTTTCAGTACTGGGGTTTGAACTCAGGGTCTTACTCTCGAAAATACCCAACACAAAAAAAAAGGGCTAGTGGAGTGGTTCAAGAGGTAGAGCGCCTGCCTAGCAAGCATGAGGCCCTGAGTTCAAACCCCAGTACCACAAAAAAAAAACATAAAATAAAAAAGGGCAATACTCAAGGATTTGAATAGAAATTTCTTCCAAGATATACAAATGGCTAATAAGCACATGAAGAGACAAATAAATGCTCAATAAAGGCATACTCAATATCTTTAGTAATTACAGAAATGCAAATCAAAACCAAAATGAAACATTGCTTTACATCTACTAGAGTGGCTATAAGCAAAACAGTTTAAGTATTGGCAACAATGTGGAGAAATTAGAATACTTGTGCGCTGCTGATAGGAATGTGTAAAAATGGTACAGCTACTATGAAAGTCTGGCAGTTTCTTAAAAAGCAAAACTGTCCTATGACCCCGCAACCTCACTCCTAGGTATGTAACTGAAAGAAACGAAAGCAGGGACTTAAATAGGTACTGGTACACTCACAGTCACAGCAGTACTATGCACAACAGCTGTAACATGAAAACAACAAATGTCATCAGGCGAATGACATTTTCTATAACATGGATGAACCTTGAAAACATGCTAAGTGCAAGAAGCCAGACACAATTCATAGAAGAAACCAGGAGCTAAGATGGGAGAAGGGGGAGTTAATCTTCAATGAGTACAACATTTCATTCTAGGATAATAAAATACCTTTGGATATAGATAGTGAATGGATTGAATCCCTGTGAATTACACACTGAAGAATGACTAGAATGGGGGGAGAGAGGGAAGGAAGAAAGATGGAGGGGGTGACTCTAATTAAGATATATTATAACCACTTACGTAAATATCACAATGTATCCCCCCCCAGCAACTATAAACTACTAATAAAAAAATTTTTAAGTATGTTTAAAAAAAGTGGCTAAACTGATGAATATGTTTGGTATATTTTATCATTAAAAAAAAGCCACAAGACAAAAACAAAAACAAAAACCAACAAATAAACAAAAAAGTCAGTCAGGTGCTAGTGGCTCACTAATTACGTGGGAGGCTGAGGTCAGGTGATTGTCATTAAAGGCAAATACTTCTGATGGACTGGAGGCCATTGCAAAAAAAAAGATGGACTGAAGGTGTGCTCAAGGGGTAGAGCGTCTGCTTTTTAAGCATGAAGCCCTGGCTTCAAATCCCAGTACCATCAAAAAAAAGGAGCAATGCAGTTGGATTCTAAACCAGAAAAAGGATACTAATGAAGACAACTGGTGAGTTTTGAATGAAATCTGTAGACTAGTTAACAATATTTCAACAGTATTAATTTCTTAGTTTTAATAGTTAGAGAAGGTGCCAGGCGCCAGTGGCTCCCACCTATAATCCTAGTTCCTTATGAGGAAAGATCAGAATAGTGGTTCAAAGCCAGTCCAGGGAAATAGTCTTCGAGACCCTACCTCAAAAATACCCATCACAAAAAAGCACTGGCAGAGTGGCTCAAGCAGTAAGAGTGCTCGCCTAGCAAGTGTGAGGCCCTGAGTTCTGAGTGCTACCAAAAAATAAATTAATCAATTAACTAAATAGAGAAGATTACAAAAGATGTTAACATTAGGGCAAAGTGTGTCTAATTTACATAAAGCAAAAAAACAGTTCCATATCCTAAAATGGAAACATCTTGTTTTCTGGAGGCCAGTGATGCAGTTATGCAATAGCCATGAGTTTGGTAGCAGCACAACCACTGTTCATATTTTATATAGAGTATCATTGCTTTTGAATTTCATAAAGTCAAGACATTTAAGAAATATGTAATACATACCCAGAACTGGTTCTGTAATATTAAGTAAAGAAATGCACCCAGGAGGAGTGAATTCTGTCTGTCCCAGATCACATTCCAAATAGTCAACACAGGAAATACTGAAATTTTTTTAAGAAAGAAAGAAAATCTTAAGAAGCTTTATTCTGTAGGGAGGAGAAATCAGATGGCAATGGCTTTACACAATACCCCACATATCCACACTGTGCAGCCTTTCAGGTAGATGGCTTCAAAAGATGACCCTCACAATGCAGGCAGTGTCCATTCATGAAATGCATACAACCTGGTCTCTCCTTACAGCTTTATTTTAAACACAACAGAACTTATGCCTACTCTCAATCTCTGGCGTTAGAAATGTTATCTGGATAAACAGATTCTGAGATGCCTCTCCTAAGGCAGGGTGGTTACTGTGTCCCCAGCACACTTCTTTGTAAACGTCTGCCCAGTCTGGATGCATCCCCATGTTTCTCCAATCGAAATTCTCATTTATGCCAAAAATCAAGCGATACACCAAAATCCAAATGAAAGCATTCTTACCTATTTAACAACTGGTTAATCAGGTATCTGTTGAATGTTGACTTTCCAATGTCCTGAGTTCCACAAACCAGGATGACAGCGCAGCCATCTATTTCCTCTGGAGGCAGAGCAAACAATGACCCCAGAATTAGCACTTTCTTTAGGATTCTATTAGCCACAATTCTCTGAGGCTTTGGTGGATACACTTAAACTTATCCAAATACATTACTTACCACAAGACACGCTAACTAACTCTTCCAGTGCGGAACGAGCACTCTCAGTTAAAGCAAGGCCTTTTTTCCTTTTCTGTTTTCTGATGCCAACAGACCTCAAAGCTAAATATTCAGGATTAATCTGGAAAACAGGACTCTGAAATATATAAGAATTAAAATTTTCAGAAAAGGTGGAAAATGCAGATTTCTTTGTTTCTAAATTAGTAAGCCTCAAACATAAGTTCAGTCCCACCCTTTCCTTTACCATCCCAAAATCCAACCTGTCAGCAAATTGTCAACTCTATTCCTGAAACTATCCGTGTCTGTTTTCATAACCCATGCTTACTCCCAAGGTGCCATAATAGCCTCTGCAGAAGGTTCCAGAAAAAAAAGAAAAGGCACAGAAATTTAAAAATGATTTTCACTGACCAAGCACGGGGGCTCACACCTGTAATCCCAGCACTGGAGAGGCTGAGGAAAGAATGAAAATGACCTTGTCTTGAAATAGAAAGATTGCATAAGAAAAATTTAATAGAGGTACCGCAGCTATGGAACAGGTTGGTGATCTGAAACAAAGTCAAGGCAAGCTCCAAAAACATAAAGCAAAAAACAAAGATATATGCAAATAGAGTTAAAGGGATGTGGAAGACAAGTATGTCAAATCCACTGCTGTCCTAACAGACACAGGAGGAAATCAAAGAATGCAGGCATGAGCTAGTGCAAGCAAGTGTGGTTCAGATGGAAGATGCCGATGGAAAAAGAGGATGAAGGATGGGACCCACCCACAAACATATCCTCCTGCAATTCACCAGCATAAAGGGTATGTCTGAGCCATGCCTTTAATCCCAGCACTTGAGAGGCTGGGCCTGGGCTACACAGTAAGACTCTGTCTCAAGAAAACAAAACAAATAAATGAACAAAAAGAATGCATCTGAGCCAGGTGCCAGTGGCTCATGCCTGTAATCCTAGCTACTCAGGAGACAGAGATCAGGAAGATCACGGTTTGAAGCCAGCCCAGGCAAACAGTTCACAAGACCCTATTTCAAAAAAACCCATCACAAAAAAACAAAACAAAAAAAACCATCAAAAAAACCCATCACAAAAAAGGGCTGGTGAAGTGACTCAAGGTGTAGGCCCTGAGTTCAAGCCCCAGTACAAAAAAAAAAAAGAAAGAAAAAAACCCACATATGGGGGGAGTGGAATTATATTGGAGAAGGTGAACTTGTTCAAGGTACATTGTACATGTAATATGAAATCCCTTCATATTAATAAATGTACATTATATATACCTGTAATATATAATATTAATATAATTCAAAAATAAAATAATTTAAAAAAAATGCATCTGATGCATGGCATTTGGAACATTCACTTTCTTTTTTTCTTTTTAATTTTTATTTTGTTCATATGTGCATACAATGTTTGGGTCATTCCCGCCCCCGCCCCCCCACTCCCTCCCTGGAACATCACTTTCAAGTGGCAAAGGCTTAAGACAGAATTCCCTTTCCCAGGGTGATGGGGAACAATCTAAAGAGATCTTCCACTTGTCTCTGGCTCTCTCTGGACATATCTTCCCACCACTATAAATGAACTGCCTGTTTCTCCCAAGGCCACAGTTGGATGAGTTGAGCAGAAGAACCCAACTCATCTCTCATGATGAACTTGATGACAGCTCCAGCCATCCTCTACCTCCATGGGAGAGGATGGTTCCAGCACCATCACTTCTCTCTCTCTCTCCTCTGGCTCATTCCCATCTGCTGTGTTGAAGCATGGTGGTTTGTTTTGTTTTGTTTTTTTGCAGAGCTGGGAATTGAACCCAGGGCCTTGTGCTCACTAGGCAAATGCTCTACTACTTAAGCTATGCCCTCAGCCCTTTTGAGTTTGTTGTGTTTTTACAACAGGATCTACCCACTACCATTGCCTGGACTGTCCCGGAACCCAAGATCCTCTTGCCTATACCTGAGTAGCTGTGATTACAAGCATGCTTAGCTATGGTCTTTCTTAACTTCATCTCAACAAAAAACAAAACTCTTGATTACAATTATCCCTCGAACCACTGCTTCATTTCTTTCCTTCCCTTTGTAACAAAATCCTTTATCATTAAACCCTTAGGCTTCCTCTTTCCCCTCAGGCTCTCGACCCCATTCCTGTAGGCTGCCCTACAGCAATCTACTAAAACCATTCTTGTCCAGACCTTTATTCTCTGCCTTAGATCACCTTTTACCATCTGCAGCTCACTATCTCCTTCAAAGTCCTATGACCCCAGGGTTCTCTATCATGGTGCCAGCTCCTTCTCAAGTTCCTCTGCTGTTCCCTCAGCTTTGTCTAGACCTCTTTCAGAGTGCTACAGTCCAGATGTGGAGCTCTCTCTTTCCTATCTAGATCAACTCCCTCCTTGATTTTTACCCATGTCCTATTCTCAGATATCCTCTCTGCTGCAGGCTCCCAAATTCCTCCAAACTCCTTCCCTGAAGTCCAGACTCACACACTTGACTGCCTAGCTGGCCTCTTCAAGTACAAGTCTAACAGTCTATAATGTCTAACAGGCACTGCTCCTGCCAGTGTCCCATCGCAATTAATGGCAACTCCATGCACCCAAATGGTAAGGTGAAAAGCCTGCTGTTACTCTGTGATTCTTTTTTTTTTTTTTTTCTTCCCAGCACTGGGGCTTGAACTCAGGGCCTACATCTTGAGCCATTCCACCAGCCCTTTTTCTGTGAAGGATTTTTTCAAGATAGGGTCTCACCAACTATTTGCCCGGTCTGGCCTCGAATCTCAATCTTTCTGATGTCTGCCTCCTGAATAGCTAGGATTACAGGTGTGAGCCACAGGCGTCCACTAGGAATGGAACTTGACTTTAGAAAATGCAGCAACTTAGAGTCGAGGAAAGAGAAAGCTGGAAGTCTCAGTATATTTAAATTATTCATTCACTGTTTAGAGAAAATAAAAATAACCATTAGCCACCTACAATATGAAATGGTATTTTCTTTTGAGACAGGGTCTTGCTAAGTAGTCTTGGTTGGCCTCAAACTTGTGACCCTCCCACCTCTGCTATTATAGGTGTGATCACCATGCCTGATCAAAATGGTGGCTTTTGCTGGGGAATGAAAGTGAGAAAAGCAGATAATGCTACAGAGACAACGGGAGACACGGGTGACACTCTGCAGCACCAATTCCACTGACAGGACAGACTGATCTCCCAAAACCTATCCTACAAGGCCACTGGATTTGACTGCTTTGATAAAAGTAATTAGTGAAACTGAATGAAAACTGCTTTTACCTCTTGCACGAAAACATAAGATAAACCTGGATAGCTGGTTATGAAGTTTATGGTGGAGGTTTTTAGCTGTTCTAGCATCACAATGGAACACAGAGGAGAAAAGTTCTCTATTGACCAAGATCTGTCCTCTGCAAAGAGAAAAATGAATCATTTCAGATGCAGTAACTCCATCAAAGTACATGTATTTTAGGGCTGCTATCTTCTCTACTAACGTTTTGAGAGTAGGAATTATGCTTGAGAGTGTTTTTCAGGTGGCAAATCACATAGTAAGATCAATTTCCAACATCTGTGGCGAGAAATCAGTCCAGGCTTGCCCCATACCACCTTCATGGCCTTGGAAATTTTTTATTGTATGCAAAATGGTGAAAGTCACAGTACTTTAACACGTAGGACCCTTGTGAGAGTTTAAGCAGATACAACCAAGTGCACAATGTCTAGATCACAATAAGAGTCTAAAAATCATTAATCTTATTATAGTAGGCCCTTAGCAAAGTACACACTTCTTTTTCTTACCCAGGTTAAGATGAGATTTGAGTAGAGCCCGGACCTCCCTTCTGATCTCTTTCTCACTTTTCTCAGCTGTAGAGTAAGGAACTGCATTAAGAGTCAGGTAAGCGTGGGTATAGGCAGAGTAGACATCTTGGGCAGGCTGGCCTTGGCTAATGGTATAACCAAACACTTCCACCTGGCCATACAGGCAAGTCACACGACAGATACCACCAAAAGTAAAACCCTAGCAGGGAAAGAAAACAGGAAAAAAAATCACATTTTATGGACCCTGTTGCTAGAACTGGAAAATTCTAAAATCTTGCTATTCACTTATTAAAAGAACATCAATTTCTGGGCTGGCAGAGTGGCTCCAATAGGAGTCTAGCAAGAGTGAGGCCCTGAGTTCAAACCACAATACCGCCAAAAAATTAGATTTGCAAAAAAAAATGTTTTAAGGCAATCAATTTCTTCCTTTTTTTCCCATGGAACTGGTATTTGAACTCAGAACCTCATGCTTGCAGGCGCTGTACCACTTAAGCCACACCTCCAGTCCCTAAGGCAATCAATTTCTAAGAGCAGATTACACTGGACTAGGTGACCCACACATACTTTGTATTTTTAACCTGAGGTCATCCCCCAGAGCAGCTCCAGAGTCAGTCTGTGAAAACATGAAGAACAAGGGGACCCCGACCCGCCTATGTGGTCCTCATGGTTCAGACACTCTACCACGCCATCCTCACAAAGGTGCAAAGCTTGCAAGACCTCTCCGCTTTCCCAGCATCCGAGGAATCATCTCCCAGACCAGAGTGCTGTCAGCCTGCTTCAGTGTATGACTCCTGGCTCTGCCTGGCTACTGTATAACTTCCGGCAGGACCTAATTTATTTCTTGCTCTGTAAACAGAGAGATGGCAGCAATACTCCAGAGACAGCAGGGAGCGCTGTTGGCACACCTGAAGCACTTGCAACACCTCGGCATTTATATCTAAGCGCCCAGAATATGCGACCTGTTAATTTTTGCTGGCATGAAAGTCCCTGCCAGCCCAGGCAGCAGTGGCTCACGCCTGTAATCTTAGCTACTTGAGAGGCTGAGATGGGGAGGAAAGCGGTTCGAGACCAACCCCGGACAAATACTTGGCGAGACCCCCCCCCCAACCTCCAAAATAATCCGAGCAAAGTGAACTCCAGGTGCTTTGCAAGTGCGAAGTCCTGAGTTCAAACCCCAGTCCCGCCAAAGAAGTCAGTCCCTGCCAACTGGGAAGACCTAGAGACCCCTTAGGCAGGCCTTATGACCGCCGCCATGAGGACGGACCGGAATGCGACCTGCAGCCGGAGATCAGGCGTCCGGGACCTCGGCCCTCTATTCCGGCAGCTCCCGGGGCTGCGTCTCGGTGCTCAGGCCGCGAACACCGCGGGCGTGACCCACCTCCTCGGCCGGCAGCAGCAGCAACGCGCGGCCCGGGCCCACCTGGCGCACGAGTGGGACGGGGACGGCGGCGCGGACGCTGCGGGCGGGAGACGGGGCCGCAGCCTTGGGCTTTCGGGCCGCCTCCGCGCGCGAGCCCTGGCCGGTGCCCTCCCGATAGTCCGCGCCCGCCGCCTGGGCCTGCAGTAGCCGCCGCCGCCGCCGCAGGCGTCGCCGCTCGCCTCGGCGCTGGGTCCCGAGCCGGCGGCGGGCCCGGCGGCTGAGGATGAGCTTGGGCCGGGTTTTGCGGGCCTTCGACAACGCAAAGCGGCACGGAACCCGCCGCAACCGCAGCTCCGAATCCGCCATGCTGTGCGGGCAGCGTTGGCCGCGCGAGAGTCTCGCGAGACTCCGTTCTTGCCCTGCGGCCTCGCCGGCTGCGGACGGGAGAGGCCTTGAAGCGGCTGCCGCCCTCTGTCGGTGACCTCCGGTACTACATTAAGGATTCCACCGGCCCCTCGGAGGCTCGCCAGTCCAGGGAGCTCTCGTGGTCCCACCGAGGGTTACATTTACATTATGCAAAAGCCCCACCCCGGGCGGCTGGAGAGAGAAAGCCAAAAACACCGGGTTCAGCCACAGGGCCACCTCTCCGGAAATCCACCTGGGATTTTTTTTTTCCTGCAGAAAAAGCTCCAGGATTGGCATTTTAAACAAAATTGGTTCATTTGCATATGTTCAGTTTGCATACATTTGTCTTTGGGCTGACGGGAGCAATCCTGGGTAACAAGCCTGAACTGTGATGATTCGCTCACACTTTCACTGGGGACTGCGGCTTGGAGTGTCAACTCAAATCCGTATCTCATTGAGTAAACTGATGCCCAGGTACAGGGTTCTGAAACCTGCAGTTTGACAGGCGTGGTGGCACAGTTTGTAGTCCCAGCTACTCAGGAGGTTGAAGCAGGAGGATCACTTGAGCTCAGGAGTTTGAGGTCAGCCTGGGCAACAGAGCCAAGCCCACCTCAAATGAAACAAAAACAAAACGCTTACCTTCCTGAAGACAACCCTCCACCTCTGCCTCACTGCACCAGGAAAGCTGTGTCCCAGCCTCCCCACCCCTGGAAATGCCAGGGCTCCCTTCCTGAGCCAGGTGAAGCCAAGGGCACCAGAGCAAGGATGGAACCCACAACCGTCCAGAGGAGGGGTTTGCATCCATGCCCTGGGCCTGCCCAGTTCCTGAGGGGGGCCACGGGTCCGGAAGGCCAAGAGAAACAGCCTGGTTGCTACATCTGGGCTCCAGTCCCACCCCTCTCGGGCATCTGAGTGGCTACTGTCTACTGTACTTAAGCAGCTGGCTTTGTGAGAGGGTGCTGCTTGGCCATGCTAGGCACAGTGGCGTCTGGCCAGCATGATCCTCAGGGTGGCTTATCTGGTGGGCCTCCAGCTTTCCATTGTCTGCTGCTGGGCTTTCAGCTGCCACAAGACAGAGTTCTCTCCTGACTTCAGTCTCCCAGGGGATTACCTTCTTGCAGGCTTGTTCTCTCTCCACGCTGACTATCTGCAGATGAGACACAGACCCCAGGTAACCCTCTGTGACAGGTGAGTGAGGAGCCAGCACAACTGTCACTTAGTGGCAGCTGTAGCCATAGGGCCTCTCTGCCTACCTTTGGGCTATCCCTGGAGTTACCACCTCCAACCCACAGTTGGCACTGTCAAGTACTGCCTGGACCCTTCCAACTTCTGCTAGGTTCCACTTTTTTTTTTTTTTTGGTGGGACTAGAGTTTGAACTCAGAGCTTTATGCTTGGGAAGCAGGCGCTGTACTACTTGGGCCACACCTCCAGTCCATTTTGCTCTGGTTATTTTGGAGATGGGGTTGTCTCGAACTATTTTGCCCTGGCTGGCCTTGAACCATGATCATCCCAATTTCAGTCTCCCAAGTAGCTAGGATTACAGGCGTGAGCCACCAGCGCCTGGATCAGTTTCTCCTTTTGATTATTTTGTCCTTGCTGTTAGAAGTGTTGTTTTGCAACTCCATATTAGTAATTTCCTGGCTTTTCTCCCAGCTGACAAGAGTGATGAGTAAGGGAGACACATGGCACAAGATGCCTTAGGAGTTCAGCAAAGATGCATAACATAGATGCCTTCGTGGAGTCAGCAACCTAAGTAGAGAAAAACCTATGACTTTTTGCGTGTGTGTGTGTGTGGGGGGCAGTACTGGGGTTTAACTCAGGGCTTACATTTTGAGCCACTCCACCAGCCCTTTTTGTGTGTGTGTGTGTGATGGTTTTTTGTTTTTTGAGATAGGGTTTCCCGAACTATTTTGCCCAGGTTGGCTTCAAACCTTGATTCTCCTGATCTCTGCCTCCTGAGTAGCTAGGATTACAGGGATGAGCTACCAGCACCTGGCTAATCTATGACTTTCCTTTCAAAGAAGATGGCAGCTTGTGGACTACGCAAGTAAATCACGTCTAGGGGCTAAAGATAAAGATATGTCAGGCTTGGCTGCAGGGTGCCCGACTTTTACCCTAGGAGGAAGGTTCTGGAAACGCTAACATATGAGCTCCAAACAGAGCTACAGATGGGAGGCTGGAGAAAGGAAACTTGGGCTGGAAAGAGAGATTGCAGGGACGACACTGGAAAACTGGAGGGCTCTACATGCAAGAGACACTGAGCCTCCTTTGAGTGATGTAGGGAACAGAGGTGATAGAAGCCATGCAGGAACCTTCGACCAGGTACAGAGGCTAGGGAGCAGAATAGGCTAACAGGCTCCTTAAGCAGAACTGAATCACGTCCCCACCTGTGATAGCAGTTCCCAAGTGTAGCAGTTCCACAGGCTCTCAGCACATTCATATGGTTCCCAGCGAGTAGTGCTAGTTGAAGCAGGTGAGGCAGGCATGGTGTTTAATTTTACATGTCAGTTTGTCCAGGTGATGGTGCCCAGAGGTGTTTGGTCAACCAGTCTAGATGTTGCCATGAAGGTATTTTTTAAATGTGATTTTTTTATGTTTTGGTAGTATTGGGGTGGGGTTTGAACTCAGTATCTCATGCTTGCTAGGCAGGCGCTCTACCACTTGAGCCACTCCACCAGCCCTTTTTTGTGTTGGTTATTTTGGAGATAGGGTCTTGAAAAGTATTACCCAGAATGGCCTCAAACTTCCTGATCTCTGCCTCCTAAGTAGCTAGTTAAAAGACTGAGGTCCCAGAAAAGAAGGGAATTCTGCCTTTGGATTCTGAACTACAACATCAACTCTTACCACCTCCCCATTTACATCCTGTCGACTCTGTTTCTCTAGAGAACACTAAATATAGCACTTTTCTCTGTTATAGGACTTCGGAGCCTTTCAATGCTGATATGCTTATCTGAAGGGTATCTGGTACACATCAGTTCTCCAGTTTGTGCCCCACCTCTCCCTAGGCCTGTTTACATCTCCTGGAGGTGTATGTACTTCAGGGTGCATGCTGAGGTCACAGTTGTCTAGGCCTGGACCAATGACCTCAGAGGTTCCTTCTGCCCCAAATTCTGGGATGCTAGGAGGGTGGAGGACTTCAGGGGGCTTTGACTTTTTAACTCTTGCTGGGCCTTCCCTCACAGGCCTGGCAGCTTCAACGGCCATGGCTACCACCTCTTCCAGGCCATGAGGTTTGGCATTGAGGAGATAAACAACTCTACATCACTGCTGCCTAACGTCACCCTGGGGTATGAGCTCTACGATGTGTGCTCGCAGTCTGCCAATGTGTATGCCGTACTGAGCGCGCTCTCCCTGAGGGGAACACAGCACATAGAGATCCAAGAAAACCTGTCCCACTATACCCCCAAGGTGATGGCAATCATTGGACCTGACTACACTGACCACGCTGTCACCACTGCTGCCTTGCTGAGCCCCTTCCTGGTGCCCCTGGTAAGCTGGAGCTTCAGTGGTTTGCCATCTTTATCTGGCAAGTCCAGCATGGGCTGGGGGGCTGGGCGGGAGCTGTGGTATGAGGCTAGACTGCCCCCCTGGATCTTTGGGTAGTCCCTGGTCTTTAATCACATTGTAGAGGTCCTTGTCCGTCATGGACCCTGCCCCTACTTTCCTTCCTCTCTCTCCAAAGGCTGCTTCCAGATTTCCTGCCTCAGTGCTCATTGGAAACCTATTCTTCTTTGGAACTCATGCTGTCACCTGCTGGTCCTCTGCCCTCCACACCCCTCTCTCCACCCAAAGTCTCCATTACCCTGTTAACCACAGAACCCCCTTCACGTCCCACCCGCTCAACTTCACATCTCCCCTGCCTCACCTGCCTGCCCTTCTTTCTTCCCTCCAGACTCAGAGGTGGGGGCATCCCTCACCTTGAGGCCAGCCTGTCCCTGTTGCAGTCCCATCCTGTCCCTTGGCACTTGTTTGCTGTGAGCCAGAGAACCTCCTAGATCTCTGGCCAATGACAGTTTCCAGTCCTTTATCTTATGGCACATCTTTGTGACATTTTTGGCCCATGCCATATGACACTCTCCTTGGCATTTATGCCCCTCACCATTCCCTACTCCCTGTCCTCTTAGTCTCCTGGAGAGAATCCTCCAGTCTCCCTCCCCTGACGAGGCTGGTGATGTCCCTTGTTCTCCTGTCCTCTTCCTTTCTCAACAGGCAATGGACGCCATGCTTGACCTCCTATTCTCTCAGTGCACTGAATTCTGACTTCTGAGCACACTCCACACACCCACACACACCTGACATCCCTACTTCGTGTAGCAGCAGGCTCTGTGCTGAAAACCCCTGCCTCCCCACTCCTGCCTCCCCCCGGAGCTTCTTTTCCTCCTGTAGTCCAGCTGGCAGCTGCAGCAGTTGCCTCTCCCCAGGCCACAAACCCAGCAGTCCTGTCTGCCTTCACTCTTCTTCCCTAGGTGTACTCCCTTCCCTCAGCACAGAGCCCACTCATCCTTCCTTTTCAACACTGCCATATGAGAAGGGGGTGGGTCCATCCCCCTTCTCCACTGCCACAGCTTTCATCGAGACCATCACCCTTACTAGATGACTCCATCAGGCTCCTGATGGCCCCCCAACTCATCTTGAGCCTTTTTTGCATGTTCCTCACTAAAATTAGAGATACAGTCATCAAACACAAGTCTGAACATGTCACTTCTTGGGGAGAACCTTTGGGGCTCTCCAAAGTCCACAGGCTGAAGTCCAGATTCCTTAGCTTGACAGCTCCTTCCCTGCCCAACTTGTGCAAAAGACCTGGCCAAGTGAAAGCCCCTGTGGCTCTTCAAACACACCATATGATCTCACTCCCTGGAAGCAGGTTGTGTTCCTTGTGCTCAGAATACATAAACCCTCTCAGCATCCTCCCCAGTGCAGCCATTCTCCATCCTCCCTGTACCCACATCCAGCACAGGGCTGGGCACTGGGAGGCCTTCAATTGAGGTGACATCACTAATCTCACTCATCCTCCCTCACACAGATCAGCTATGAGGCCAGCAGCACGACACTCAGTGAAAAGCGACTGTACCCCTCTTTTCTGCGTACCATCCCCAGTGACAAGTACCAGGTGGAGGTCCTTGTGCTGCTGCTGCAGAAGTTTGGGTGGGTCTGGATCTCACTGATTGGCAGCTATGGTGACTATGGAGAGCTAGGGATTCAGGCACTGGAGGACCTGGCCACACAGCGGGGTATGTGCATTGCCTTCAAGGGAATTGTGCCCTTCGCTGCTCAAACAGGGGATAAAAGGATGCAGGACATGATTTGCCTCCTGGCCCAAGCCAAGACCACTGTGGTGGTGGTTTTCTCCAACCGAAAGCTGGCTGGAGTATTCTTTGAATCTGTGGTGCTGGCCAACCTGACTGGCAAGGTGTGGGTAGCCTCAGAAGACTGGGCCATCTCCACACACATCACCAGCGTGCCTGGAATCCAGGGCATTGGGACGGTGCTGGGTGTGACCATCAAGCAGAGGCTTGTCCCTGGCCTGAAGGAGTTTGAAGAGGCTTATGCCCAGGCAGACAAGGGTGCCCCCAGGATTTGCCCCACAGGCTCCTGGTGCAGCACCAACCAACTCTGCAGAGATTGCCAAGCGTTCACGGCACATAGGATGCCAGGCCTCGGAGCCTTTTCCATGAGTGCTGCCTACAATGCATACCAGGCAGTATATGCTGTGGCCCATGGCCTCCACCAGCTCCTCGGCTGTTCCTCTGGAGCCTGTTCCAGGGATCCAGTGTACCCTTGGCAGGTAAGAGAACCCAGTCCCAGGCCCCCTGTATCAGGGAGAACAACCAATCCTGAGATAAGCAGAATGGGCACTCTCTGGCCACCCTAACAGCCACTGACTTGAAGGCTGGTCTTCTCTTAGACTAATCTTTTTCTTCTCTGAACCTTGCTTTCTCCCACCCACCATGTCCCAGACACATCAAGGGCTAAAATTCTTGGCAAAGGAATCCTTTGTTAGAGGCCTCCTCTCAGGAGACTGGTTGAGAGGGGAAAGGGGCTTCATAGGAGGGGAGGGGTCTCTGGAGAAGAAACTACACCTTCTAGCTGGGCTGAAACCACTCAGGATGAAACCCCATGAAGACGCCAGCTTCCTGGGCCATCTGGGTCTGTGTGCTCTATGGTAGCTTCATGATGTCTGTTTGTCCCAGCTCCTGGAGCAGATCTATAAAGTGAATTTCCTTCTGCATGAGGACATGGTGACATTTGATGACAATGGGGACCTCCTTAGTGACTATAACATCATCGCTTGGGACTGGAGTGGGCCCACGTGGACCTTTAGGATCATTGGCTCCTCCACGTGGTCTCCAGTTGGTTTGAACATAAATAAGACGAAAATCCAGTGGCACGGAGAGAACAACCAGGTAATGGGGATATGGTTACTCATCAGGTCGCTGACTTATGGCATCGAGGGCCCGAGAGTGATGGTTACCCAGAGCAGGAAGGGCACCACAGGTGTCAGACTGCCATCACTCTGCTCATCCCTGCCAGGGAAGCTAGCTCCACTGCTAGCAGACACCAATTGGATGTTCTCTCACATGAGCAGAGGCTCTGCACTGGGAGTGTGCCCAGAGGGCAGAAGCATGAAGATTCTGTTTTCTGTTCCATGTGTGAGCTGTCCCTTGACTTGGGCACCTCCGTATGGTTGCCATGCTTCTTACAGGTGCCTACATCCGTGTGTACCAAGGACTGTCTTGAAGGGCACCATCGAGTGGTTGTGGGTTCCCACCATTGTTGCTTCGAGTGTGTGCTCTGTGAGGCTGGAACCTTTCTCAACAAGAGTGGTGAGTGAACAGTGAGTGTGTGAGTGACCCAAAATCCCAGGGTCTACACTGCAAGTAGAAAGACCTGTCAGTGTGTACAGACCTGGCCCCAGAACCAGGGCTTGCCAGTTAGGTACAAGTTGGAGGACACCTGCTAGCAGACTGAATTCTGATCAAGTAGAAACAACCAATTGAAAGCTTGATACCAAGACATGTCTTTTATTAGAGAGCTCCAATCACAGCTCCTACAGATGGAGCTTATCCTGAATACAACCTCTTTATCCAAATGGATGTAGCCATTGCTCCTTTGTATTCTCCCATCCTTTTATATGAAGTTCCTTCTTTTGCCAGTGCCAAAGACACCAGCACCTGACTGCCTTGGCTTGAATGCAGATACTTGCATGTCTTCAGCCAAAAAAAAAAAAAAAAGCCAGAATGTCCCACCTAGAAATGCAAGGTGGAGAGCAGAGAGCAAATTAGGTAGCGAAGGCTCTGCCCAGAGCTGGACTATAGGGTCGTATTTACTATCTTTGTGGAGATGACAATGAGTGCTGTTAGTTCTTAGAGAGTCAAGACTCCGAAATCACAGAGCAGAAGCTCAGGAAGGCAGATTGAGTTAGTAGAAGTGTTGGACGAGATGACATACTTTTCCTTTCTTTGAGCTAGCTTCTCCCTCTGCAACATAGTCTCATTGGCATATGGGATGAGTTACCAGTGTCAGGCCCCTTTTGTTTACAAACTCCTCTTGGGACGGTGAGCCATACATTTATCCATGAATCCTCAGAGTTTGTTATTAACACAGACCTTCTGAGGAACTACTTGGCCTTGACCCAACTCCAGGTTTCCACCCTCTACTATGCCTCCAGAGCCTAGGCTGATTGTGGATGTGTTACAATTCTCCCAGCATCTGCAGGCCTCCAGCACCTTCTTTTCCTTCTAATCTGCTCACCCTGGCCCTCAGGAATATTTTTTTTGCTTTGTTTGCAGACCTCAACAGCTGCCAGCCTTGTGGGAAAGAAGAGTGGGCACCTGAGGGAAGCCAGACCTGCTTCCCACGCACTGTGGGTTTTTGACTTGGATGAAGCCCATATCTTGGATGCTATTGGCAGCTAATAACACTGCTGTTGTTGCTGTGCTGTTGGGACTGCTGTTCTGCTTGCTTGGCACCTAGACAACACTGTTGTAAGGTCAGCTGGGGCAGGCTATGCTTCCTCATGCTGGCTCCCTGCAGCGGGTAGCTGCAGCCTCTATGGTTTCTTTGGGGAGCCCACAGTTGCCCACTTGCTTGCTGCGCCAGGCCCTCTTTTCCTTCGGTTTCGCCATCTCTTCTGTCTTGCTTGACAATCCGCCTTCTTCCAACTGGTTATTCATCTTCAAGTTTTCCACCAAGGTACCCACATTCCAAAACCATGGTGCTGGCCTGTTTGTGATAGTCAGCTCAATGGCCCAGCTGCTCATCTGTTTAACTTGGCTTGCAGTGTGGACCCCACTGCCCACCAGAGAATACCAGCGCTTCCCCCAGTTGGTGATGCTTGAGTGTACAGAGGCCAACTCTCTGGGCTTCCTATTGGCGTTCACCTACAAATGTCTCCTCTCCGTCAGTGCCTTTGCCTGCAGTTACATGGGCAAGGAGCTGCCAGAGAACTATAACGAGGCCAAATGCGTCACTTTCAGCTTGCTCCTTAATTTCGTATCCTGGATCACCTTCTTCACCATGGCTAGCATCTACCAGGGAAAGTACCTGCCGGTAGTTAACGTGCTGGCTGGGCTGATCAGCCTGAGCGGCGGCTTCAGCGGTTATTTCCTTCCGAAGTGCTATGTGATCCTCTTCCGACCAGACCTCAACAACACAGAGCACTTCCAGGCCTCCATCCAAGACTACACGAGGCGCTGCGGCTCCACCTGATCAACGGGTCAGGCAGGGCCATGCCACGACCCGGAGGACTACAAGCCTTCCTACCAAGACGGCTGAAGGTGGAGCCGGGCGGCGGGCTTGGGGAGATGTGTAAGGGAACGGGAGCCCAGCCCAGGCTCTGCGCTGTAAATAAAGAGAAATGTGGGCTGGTGGAGTAGCTCAAGTGGTAGAGCGCTGAGCTCAAACCACAGTCCCGCAAAAAAAAAAAAAAAAAAAAAAAAAAGTGTGTTTGCGTCTTCCGGTCTGCGGGTGTGGGCTGGGTCTCACCTTTCGCAGTCTGCACTTGAAGATCAGTGAAGGGCCCTCGACCAGCTTGGTGTTGCTAGGCAACTCCGGAAGTCGAACCCAGCGCCTCCATAGGCGGGTCTGGCCACGCCCCATTCACATCCATTGGTAATTCTCCGGGTCCCGCCTCCAAGGGCGGGATTTAGAAAACTCCGCACCAAGACGGCTGAAGGTGGAGCCGGCGGCGGCTTGGGGAGATGTGTAAGGGAAACGGGAGCCCAGCCCAGGCTCTGCGCTGTAATAAAGAGAAATGTGGGCTGGTGGAGTAGCTCAAGTGGTAGAGCGCTGAGCTCAAACCACAGTCCGCAAAAAAAAAAAAAAAAAAAAAAAAAAAAAGTGTGTTTGCGTCTTCCGGTCTGCGGTGTGGCTGGGTCACCTTTCGCAGTCTGCCACTTGAATCAGTAAGGGCCTCGACCAGCTTGGTGTTGCTAGGCAACTCGGAGTCGAAACCCAGCGCCTCCATTAGGCGGCGTCTGGCCCGCCCCATTCACATCCATTGGTAATTCTCCGGGTCCTGCCTCCAAGGCGGGATTTAGAAAGCTCCGCCTCCGCGGGCCGCCGCCCCGGCCGGCGCGCCCTGACGTCACGCCGGCACGGCGACGCGGCGTCTCTGGACTTGGCTGGCACGTTGGTCCGGGCGGTCTGTGGGTTGTGGAAGCTACATTGCCGGGCCAGTGCCTCCCGCGCAGGGAGGAAGACCCGGGTGAGGAAGACGCGGGCCGCGGGAAGGAGGGCTGTGGGCCGCTGTGGCCGCCTTGCGCCGGCCGTTCGGAGCCTGTGGGTGCGGCCTGGCTCAATCACCTGTTCGCGGCCCCTCCTTTCCGCTCAGAGTCTTCTGGGTGCACGGCCGATCAGTTCACTTCATCCCCCGTTTTCTATACTCACTTTGACTTCTCTCATCGGCACCCCTTCAAGACCCTGTCTGTCTCCGCCATGCCCCTTCACCGCACCATCTTCTCTGGCCAATCCAGTGTAGCCCCCGCCCCTGAGGCTGTCAGTCGTTCCTGGCCTCTGCGTCACCCTCTAATCTTGGACCCAAGCCCTTGTCCTGATAAGAGTGATCGTTGGGTAGAAGCCACTTCCCTTTCTCGTTTAGGGGCTTTCTCTTGCTTCCTTTTATTTAGGCTGGTCAGGTCGTCACTTCTTCCTTCCTTTCCTCCAGACCATGGACGGCTCCTTCGTTCAGCACAGTGTGAGGGTTCTGCAGGAGCTCAACAAGCAGCGGGAGAAGGGCCAGTACTGCGACGCCACCCTGGACGTGGGGGGCCTGGTGTTCAAGGCGCCACTGGAGTGTCCTTGCCTGCTGCAGCCATTTCTTCCAGAGCCTCTACGGGACGGTCAGGGCAGTGTTGTCCTCCCTGCTGGCTTTGCTGAGATCTTTGACTTCTCCTGGACTTTTTCTACACGGGTCACCTCGCTCTCACATCAGGGAACCGTGATCAAGTGCTCCTGGCAGCCAGGAGTTGCGAAGTACCAGAGGTTGTGGAGCTTGCCAGAGCTTCCAGCCCAAATCCTCTGTGGACAGGCACCAAGTGGCCAGAGTGGACTGGGAAACCTGCCTCACAGGATGTGAAAGCCACCGTAAGGAACGGACAGACTTGGAAGAAGAGGAAGTTTCAAGAAACTCTGGGCCTGGTCCCTAAGGATCAGGAGACTCAGGAACAGTCACAGCCCCCAAAGTCCCAGCTCAGTCCCACTGCTCAGAGTAGCCCCTCCTTTCTCTGTGGGAAACTGAAGCAGGCTCTTAAGCCTTGTCCTTCAGAGGACAAAGAGCCTGAGGACTGCAAAGTGCTCCCAAGGCCCTTCGAGACTGAAGGTGTTCCACTGCAGCGTGACAGTAATGAGGTACTGTGCCCTGGGGCCGGAAGTGGGGAGGCAAGAGTAGAGGAAAGATGGACTCTTTTCTGGGGTGATCTGGACCTCAAAGTAGAATCTCTGTGACGTGTAGTGCACTTTCTCAAGATAGGAAGCCAGTAGCCTCACCTGACCTTTGAGTCACAACTGTCCATGGTTGCCAACTTCCTTGGGGGTAGAGTGGGTGGCATCAAGGTTACAGGTGTTTTCCTAGAGTAGTGAAACATAGCCTGGCTTTCAGTTCCTCACAGATAGAGCCATTTTTCCCCCAAAATCCAAGATTAAGATGTTGTCTGCCGTGGGCCCCAACGGGACTTACCTGGGTTGGGCGTGGGATGCAACTAAAGCTGCTCTCCACAGACCCTGCAGATTAATTTGGTGACCCACCCCTCCTGATGCCTCTTCTGCTCTAGTGGAAGTGGTGGTTCAAGTTGATGACGACGGGGATGGCGATTACGTTTCTGAGCCTGAGACTATGCTGACCAGGAGGAAGTCAAAAGTAATCAGAAAGCCCTGCTGCCGAGCCAGCCCTGGGTACAGGTTCCCTAGCAGACGAGCCCGCTGAGAACAGAAAAGGTACAGCGGTGCCGGTTGAATGCCCCACATGTCATAAAAAGTTCCTCAGCAAATATTATCTAAAAGTCCACAACAGGTAAACGCTCTGATTTTCTTTTTCTTTTCTCATCTGCCATTCCCATGTTGGGGGGGTCCTTTATTCCCCTATTCTGGGCTCTGTAGGGGCTCGGGGTTGTATCTCAGACCACACAGTGCCCTGGGCTAACATGGCACTGATCATCAGGGAGTGGGAAGCTCCCTTTAGGTCAGATTCTTCCCTCCCTACTGTGAATCTTTTGGTTGGAGATGGGCTTGTGGACCCCTTATCAACTGGCTGTACCCACTGTGGACTTTGACTGCCAGCTTGCTTCTGCAAAAGGGGATTAGAGAAGCCTGTAGCCCAGGCCTAACCTTAGGAAATTCAAAGCCTGGCAATGTGGGCTTGGCCAAGATGCTGATCTTTAGGATTAGTGCTACCTCTGTTTCTAAGGATATTAGCTCTGGGTGTGAATGGAGCATAAAAGATCATTTGACTAAAGCTGCAGTGTCCAGTAAGGTAACCAGGAGTCCTATGGGAGCCGTTTCAACTTAAAATTAAATTCAGTTCCTTAGACACTCTAGTCATATCTCATGTGCTCAGGAGCCATGTGGCCTCTAGCTACCAAATTGGATGTGCAGACAGAGCATTTCCACCATCATGGGAGATCTCTTGGACAGCACTGCTCCAGAGTCCCATGCAAGACCTCTGGGCCAGCAATTAGGTGACACGTCTTCAGTCACCAAGCCAAATTGTGCAACACACCTATTCTCCGATGACACTGGGAGACCACTAGTGATTGTCTAGAGTTGAGACCAGTTTGCTCTACCTGTATTTGGACTTGGCGCAGCTGCCACTAGTGGAGTCTTTCCATAATCCCAGTTTAGGGGGAACCCTGGGGGTTTTTCAGCTCTGCCCAGATGCTTCAGGCACGCTGCCAGCAAAAGACAGGTGCAGAGCATTGTCTCCATCAATCCCTACCTTGAGCTATGGGTTGCTGAATGTTTTGAGAACTAGGAGGGAGTGATGGCTTCATGAGGGCATTACAGTGGCAGGGGACAAGGACAGGATGTAGCAGCAGAGGATAAGAGAAGCAGTTGGCTTCTGGTAGCTTTTGAGAGCTCTTCCAATGCCATCCATGGGCTCTGAACTACTAGATAGCTGAAAAGACTTGTGGGCAGTCAGATACATCAATGAACAAGACAAAGGTCTTTATGGAGTGTACCTTCTGGTAGAGCAATGCAGGTGAAAGCATAAAAGCATAACAAGTTAGTGCAGTGTGCTAGGAATGAGCAGTGTATTAGAAACAAAAGGAGGTGGGGCCAGGAGTTGGGGGTGGTTCAGGCTGGGACTAAGTTGTGCTTCTAAATAACTGGCCTGTGGAGACTTAGTAAGAAGGCTAGACTTAAACAAAGATAAAGAAGTCATCCAGTGGGGAGAGCATTCTGGCCAGTGACAAGAGCCAGCATGAAGGCCTGGGCTAGGAGGAGCCTGGCAGGTTGGCGAACAGTGAGGAGATGAGGGACAGACTGCAGGACCAGGCAGGGTTCTCAGAGCAAGGCCAGCAAAGTGAGGGGTAGGCCGCTGAGGCACATCTATGTCCTTGTTGCCTCCTGGGCTTTTCTCATATTGAAGGAGGAAGCACTGGTCAGTTGTGAGTCAAGAGATGATGAGGGCTGCCTTATCTTCAAAGGGCCCCTATGACTTCTGAATTTAATCCAGCCTATTGGGAGGTTTGTGTGGTGCCAGGAAACAGGTTAGCTTATTGCCTCGCCAGGAGATGCTGCTACTGCACTTTCTAGTTGTGGTGAGGTGATGTGGGCAGATTCTGGTCACCATTTGGAAGGTAGAGCCACAGAGGCTCTGGGAAGACAGTTGTTTCTACAGGTAGTCGACCTGTGATCACTTATGCCAACCAGGTCTCCCAGTCAGCCTCTGTGCCAGTCCACTCCAAAATAGCCATTTAGGGAGGCTGGTAGAGGGGCTTGTAAGGTTGGCTCTTGGCTCCCAGCTGGCTCCTCTAGCACAGACGATTTAGACTTGTGACCACAGCACCTCCCTTGCTGAGAGCTGTGCGGAAGGGGATTTCTGGGTTTGTCCTGGCATGTTCCTCTGGGGTCTCACCAAGCACACCTGGTGAGCTGTGGCTGGCCTCAGGACACATTTGCCTGCTGTGCAGCAACAGCATGGGTTAATGGTGGGAGCCAGAGAGGGTCCTGTAAGGGACAGCTGGGAAACCCTCTCAGCCCCACACTCCTGT